GACCTTACACTTAAATATTTGTTTCTACTTCATTTACATACAATGTAATCCTAAAAACCCATTCTGGTAGGAAATCGTAGGTGGAAAACAAAAAAGTAAAGGAAAGGCTTGTTCCAAAATAAAATTAACTATTAGAAAATTAAAACAAACTCCTATAAAGGCATGGGAGGCAATCAGAGATGTCTTGTAGAATACAACGAATTATTATCAAAAATAATCGACGACTGTTTGTTCTCGAATTTAAAGCAATTTTTTTTTATTTTAGCATTGGCTAATTCAAGTTCGTTAAATGCTCGGCGCAACTGCCGGTTACAAATTAAAAGTTTAACCGCAGTGGAAAATCAGAGCAATTTTTTTTCTTAAAATCTGTGAGAAATGCCAATTCCGAATACCGAAATAATGTAGCGTTTCATCAGAGAAGCTAATTTTATATTTTCGATTATGATAGGTTTTTGGCACGCCGAAGAGTCAAAAATTTGTGAAAACCTGATGTAACAGTAGAAAATGGGCAAAGAGAAGTTGCGACATGAAGACGTGTGCTGCTCTTTGAAACCGTAATTTTAATTTTACTGTCATTATTACGGTTTCAGCATAAAGGTATTGATATTTTTTAATGAAATTTTGAACCATAGGCACAAAATTTCAATTTCTGCCAAGACAAGGACTCTTAGGATGCTACTATAGAAATATGTGGCTGTTAAATATTCCTGCAATATTCAAGATACCAAATTCAAACTATGTCGTAGAAACCTTGAAAGAAAGGAAATACAAAATTCAAAACTAAATTTGTTTCTTTTAAGCAAAGACTGAAATTAGTAACTTAAGATGAGGCTAGAATTATTTCATCGGAAATAACGAAAATCTAGATGAATTCATGCCATAAAGTTTAAATCATTGTTTTAAAAGGTAATCTAACGAAACATTAAAAAATTAAAAAAAAATTTAAAAACTTACATATGACTAAGTGTCCATTCATTTTTATAGCATGGCTTTTCAGTTCAAAAGAAAAATTATTAATTTTTAAGGTCAATATTTTTAATACTTCAAAGCAAACTCACATTTTATAGTTTTTCAGGTTTAGTACATTTAAAATTGTTGGAAATTATTTCCGGAAATCAAAAATATCGTATCACTTTTGTGAGATAGGCAAATTTCTATTTTATTTTAACTCTTATATTCACAGCTGAATATTTAATGGAATAGTGCAAATAAATAATAAGGAAAAGCGGTGGTTAAACAGTTATATCTTCAAATAAAAGATGTTCTGAGTTTTGTTTCCTTCCTAACTCACCTAAGAAATATTTGATGACTGCCTTAACCTGCCATGTCTGTAAATGCATTCGTCCCATCAAGGGCATTAACAATGTTAGGTCGCATTTAAATATTTTTTGCGCGAGTTCCTCTAATGTCCATTAAATGAAAGTGGAAAACTAGCGTGTAGCAGTAAACAAAGAACCGGTTTTTAATAGCATGTTGATAATTTTATTTGCAGAGTAATACGGAATAATATTTCGAAATAGTTCAAACTGCCTCAAATTGATCGACACAGGTTAATTGCATTTAGAGAGTGAACTTTTGTCGTTTTTGCATTGAAGAATTATTTTTCTGCAACGGAATTCTGAATTTTTATTTATGAAAACCTAAAATCCGTTTATCAATTTATTTTCATTTCAATATTTATTGTTTGTTTGTTAACTTTAGCTGAATTTCCTCGTGTTCCACAAAGTATATGAGGAGGCTTAAAAAAGTGAGTTATAGCACTAAAAAAATAAATAAAAGTTGTAATCACACTGTCAAAAATAATAATATTGGAGAAAATCTTTTAGATAGTAATAAAATAAAATTTTAAAAATTTTAAATTTAAATTCAGAATGAAGTTCTCAAAAGCGAGAATTGTCTCCTTTAATCCGTAAAAGTTCTGAAAAAACTGAGAGCCAAGATACAGACAGGTCTTTTAAAGCAGCCTTGACAGGTGAACATACTCAAGAAGAATACTCTATATCCTGACAAAATTTAACACTAACTTTTATTTTGTGAAAAAAAAGAAGGAGTAGGGAAAAACCTTTTTGTTCATTGTGCTTTGGATGAGGCAAGATATTCTCTCTTCTAAATAGATATAAAATCTTTTATAAAAAAGTGCTTTAACGAATTTCTTAATTTGAAGCTTTTCTGACTCCTTATCTGCTTTCTCTTCATCTTCATATACTTCTCAAGCGTAAAGGAGCTCGCTGGTCTGTTTTAGAGACAAATAATAATAAGTAATTAAACATCTGAAAGGGCCTATAGCATGTACCTAGTATTCATACGGATGCAGCTCATGGCACCTTTTATCAGCATAAAATATTTTGTTTCTCGAGTGACAGTTATAAGAATTTTTTGCCTTCCCCATTGCATGCCTGCGTGGTGTAAGCGGTAGCTTGCCTCGTCGAACACACCTCTGATTTTTGCCGTTACTGGCTTCCAAAAATTTTAAATATCTCAGCAAATGGTGCCTGTTTAAAACTTGGTAGACGATAATTCGTCACCATCTAGATTTCGCCTAATGAGTCTTATTCCTCCTTCCAGTCGCCCTTTAAGTGGGAGAGACTATAAAGAGTTTTCACCTTTCCCACTGCATGTTGTCATAGCGTAACTCGTAGCACTTCCAGTAAGCAATCGCAAGATCAGGAGTTCGAATCCTGGAGAGAGTATAGCTGATTTCCTCACGTTTCTTACTAAAATAAATACAGAAGCTTTACTGTAACGTCTGATTAAAATATGATGTACGATAATTTGTCACCATCTGTATTTGGTGAGTCTCTCTTCTACCCAGTTTCCCTTTAAGCTAGGAAGCATGTAGAAAATTTTTGCCCTTTCTCACTGTATGCCTTCGTTGAGTAAGTGGTAGCATGTCACCGGCTAACAGTCGGAAAATCCAGAGTTCGAATTATAGTGAAAGCATAGCTTTTTATCGTGCTTTCTATTTCGAAATAGATTCTGCAGTTGTATTAATTTGCTGTACATTTGCAGAAATTGCTTGTTACTTTGTATAGACATTAGGTATTTTTGAAGTATTAGTGCATGAAAAATGAGCAATGACCTCGCCGTGACTCGAATCTGGACCACTCGAATACGCGCCGAGTGAGCTAACCGTTACACCATGAAGGTATGAGGAAAGAAGGGAGAAAATACTCCTCCTTTTAAAGGGCGATTGAGGTTAGAGGACGCAGTCTCCAAATCCTGGTGGTGAAGACCTCTCAAATACGCGCCGAAAGTTCTACCGTTACACCACGAAGGCATGCAGAAATGATTGAGAAAATACCTTATAACTTCACCATTTTTGTTATGCGTGTACATACAGATTTATGGGCAAAACAAAGTTGATAAAGCTAATGAAACTTTCAGCTTCTATTTCGAAACCTATTGTGATCTATTATAATAATGAAGGAACCCCACGTTCCTTCATTATTATAATAGATCACAATAGGTAAGACTGTTAGTGTTATTTCATCCCGAGTTTGATTTCTAGAAGCTAAACTAGCTAGCTACATGGTGATTTTCGTGGCGTCAATGTGCATTGTCAACAGGAGCAGTTTCTTCATAACAGAGTTTTTCACTAACGGGTCCTTAATAAAACAAGAAAACCTTTAATACATTGTAATAAATTACTTACCTTCTGCTGCCTGTCTCTTTGTTGTAAACTGTATAACGACAGGTGCTATGTGAAATATATTGTTGCGTTCTTACGGGTTCGTGGAGTTGGAATGACTGACGACAGCACTTGATGAAGCATCGAAACACAATTTATTCGCCAGTATTTTACAGGACAGTTCCAAAGACAGGTTCACCGTCGTCGAAAAACTACGACGAACACGCTGAAACAATTAGCAACACAACCTTCAAGCTAACAGGCTATAAGGGTGAAGACAGCTTTACGGCAAAACACTAAAGTACAGCTCCCGACTCAGTCAATCGCTCTAGGAGCTCAACACACTCAAGATAAAACTAGACAATACATTGGACGATGCACTACGATATGCCGCTATTCCTCGTACTGACAGGGTTTATAACGGTGAAGACAGCTTTACGGCAAAACACTCAAGTACAGCTCCCCACTCGGTCGATCGCTCTAGGAGCTCAACACACTTAAAACAAAACTGGACAATACACTCGACGATGCACTCACGGTGCATTACGATATACCGCTACTCCTCGTACAGGCAGGGTTTATATAGCTTTTGGCCTGCCTTCGAGAACACTCTGGGCCAAACCGGTAAGAATTCGTTCCCCATCTGTCTGTGGCATATCGCCAATTTTGACGCCAAATGTCACCAAACGGGCGATTTTGCGACAAATATGGGAATCTTGCCTTCCCTTGACATTTTCCGGCAAACCTAAACTCGCCTTGCGGGGATGCTATCTCACCGCAGCTGGAAATTTCCTAACAATATTATTTATTGGGATTCTAACATTCTTTCTGAAAGTTATTCTACAACAAGCTGGGATAATGTCGTTTCACTTTAGTAAGATAGATAGATTTCTATTTTTTCATTTCAATTTTTTTTTTTTTTTTTTTTTTTTTTTTTTGCAAATTGTTTAAAGTGTATTATGATTATTTGTTATTATGCCTGTTGAGATAGTTATTTGTACTTAATATATGCCAAAACATCAACCACTTTAACTCAAATATTCTCAAACCATTGGAGGAGAAAGATTATGATAAATATGGGTAAAGATTCTACTATTTCCAGGATTACTGAATGGACAAGAGTTGTAAATGTCTGGTATGCTAGTACATGAGAAGTATTACGCATTCACGAGTTTTTGAGGGCTCAGCTATTAAAATACTGTATGAGTAGGCTAATCGGCAGATACAAAGAACTACATTACTTATAAATAAACATTATTAAATCTCATGCTTTAATTCCTTAGTATATACGCTAAGCTTTGATAAACACATTTGCTATAACTGCGCTGTAAGGTAAATACAAGCTACATTAAAGTTTTATTTTTAATTCCAGGTCCCTTTTAACGCTATCCCTGGTGCATACAGGTTAAAAGTCGAAGGTCATGTGGAAGGTGAACTTGGAGGTTCGAGATTCAGCAATGAAACGGAAGTAGGATTCTCCGAACGGTTTCTAACCATTCTAATTCAGACGAATCAGTTGGTTTACAATCTGGAGCAGATGAGTGAGTCAACGGAGAGCATTTTATATCTATAATCTACTAATTAATTGCAATGGAATTTTATTCAATGGTAACAAATATCTGTGCAAATGAAGAGGAAAATATTATTACTTAATTAAACTATAATAAGTATGAAACTGAAAATTCCAGTAATCTCGTCTTTGGTGTGAGGTTATTGTAAAAAAAGATGACATACGTACACGCTATGCTTGTATACTTTCTAAATATAAAGCTAGTATGACTCATGCCCGGATATCGGATGTTGTTTACAATGAACAGAAGTATATAGGAATTATGACAATACCTTTTCCGTTATTAAATAAAATCTTCTATCCAAGAGAATGGCAAAAACTTTGCACTGCTTATAAGGTATCCAATTATGTTTGATTGTCAGTTTTGATTAAAAGTGTGTATTGTTCTGCCGTATTATCTTATAAGTTATAGTTTTCGATTTCCAAGATAACTTATCTTCTCTTTTGTTTCGCATATTTGACATGAGGAGCATAATTTTTGCTTACCTCATAAACACGAAATAAGCATTTAAAAGACACAAACTCATCATTTAATTCTTGCCAGTTAAGAATATAGTAGAACTTCGATTTTCCAAGGCAAGTGGAACTGTTACCGTCTCGAATAATCCATTAAGTGCACAGGTACTGTTACTAATATTTTAACAAACTTTTTTTTATCAGCAGGTTAAATATATCCTTCAGTGAAACAAATACTCCATAAAACATTTCCTTCAGAGACAGAAAATAACCTGGACTAAACAAAGTCCATCAAAATTGTGAAATGTCAAATTCCTTTCAAGTATTTGTGTAAGACATTTATTTTTGAAAGAAAGTCTGTTACCCATCTTGTGATAGTCTTATAATTCTATCAGCCGCGGCACCATCATGCCATTTTTTTTTAATCAACAGAAGATACATAGTAATAAAAGGATGTTGCTCTAAGTAGTGAAAAACTACGTTTATCAGGTTTCAGCATGGCTGATTTCCATTTTGTCCGCTTCCGTTTCATTGTCATGCTCAGTATCATTCTCATTACTGCAATTTACGATGGCGCGAGTGATTTATTCGTAACTCAAAAACTTCTTTGGTTGTTTCTTACATTAATCTATTCCGAAACTTCATCTTGAGCTACGCTTCCGCATCTTTTTATCTTTTGAAACATGCTTACGAATTCCTTGGCAGTTGGAATCTGATTATTAATAATTCTTTCGTCTTTAGCACATATAAGCCATACCTTTTGGGAGTAATGCAAAATAGACCATTAAGTGACACATCAGCGGTAAAAAGAAGTCCAAAAAAATCAGTGATAAGGAAATTCGCTAATATTACTGATTTTCGTTCTAGTTTCTCAAATAATTTTTCTAGTTTACACAATTTTTTTAAATTGATTACCTGTTCGTTTGATAGAGACCCAGTTAATAGAGGTTCTTCTGTATTGCTTTCAATATAGCAAAATAGACCATTAAATGACACATCAGCAGTAAAAAGAAGTCCAAAAAATCAAGCAGTGATAAGGAAATTCGTGAATATTACTGATTTCCATTTTAGGTTTTCAAATAACTTTTCTAGTTAACCCAATGACTTTTTAAAAACTGATTACCTTATAAGGTATTTCTCCCGCCTTCTTAGCATGCGTTCGCAATGTAGTGGTCAGCACGTTCGGAGCGTATTCGAAAGGCCCGTGGTTCGAGTCCTGGCGAAGGAATTGCTCATTTTTCATTTCTCCTGCTTCCGAAATAACCTAATGTCTCTACAACCTGTTCGGTTAATAGAGAAGTCGTTGATAGAGTCCCAGTTAATAGAAGTTCCACTGTATTGCTTTCAATATATTTATTGCATTAGACAGAGTATTCTGAAATATATTCCATAGCAACAGTAAAGTACAGAATTATTTCCCCGTTTGGTTTTCATATTTGATGAGCTGGAATATTTTTTCTAAGTTTTGTTGACGATTTCGCAAAACTTATTGTTTGCAGATGTTGTATTTATTACATCATTTTAAAATGTTTATCTAAGTGTTTTCAAATATAATCCTTTCGGAAGATTTGTCATTAGATCTATCTGCTGGCGTTTGTCATATAGATACATAGTCAAATTGTAATTCCTCTTGATGCCCATATGGAGGCATTGACTGTTAATGCCTAGGATGCGAACCTGAAAAACACAGAAGTGTACTTTTTTTTTTTTGCATTGATAGAAAATTTGTACAGAAATAAGATTTCTGACACAGAAATTCTAGTTAACCATGAACCCTTTGTTATGTTTTTCAATGTGGTTTGAGATTGTGTTTATCCGGCGGCAGATAGCAGTTCTGACTACATATAATGAGTAGTACATTTGTGAGGTTGCGTAATAGGGCTGCATTTTAAACTCAAAACATATTTGTCATAATTACACTAAACTCCTTATATATACTTCATGGATAGCATAGAACAGTTATTGAAGTGTAGTGCTCGCGAGGATCCTGATAACGAGGGTTTCTCTAGTCGAGAGTTCAAGAGTATTCTGGGGTCTTGTTCCGATGGAAACAAGCTGCAAACTGAGTTAGCCACGCTTCCTTAATTTTTCAGTTGTATTTTATATACTCTGATTGATTCGTTATATCTGGAAAGATATCAGAGGAAAAATAAGATCGTCAGCCCTCCTGAAATCGAGAGTCTTTGATGACAGAACGCTAAAAATCTCTTGACGCTAGTCATAAAGTTATGTCTCTTGCATTGTCAACCTCAATGTCAGACCATGTCGTATGGCACTTGAGCATCATAAAAGCTTGGAAACAGTGATTTACGTGGACCGCACACACGATTTTCTCATCTCTGTGTGGTACGCCGCAAAATTAACTCGTTTTAAAATGGCATTTAAGTGGAGCCTAAAATCCTATTAGAGTTACCTCTGAACAGTTCATTTCGGGCCCCAAATCTCGAAGAACGGGTTGATTGCATGGGAGATTTCGTGATTTTCTTCATGTGTAACGTGATAATAGGGCTTTCTTCTAAAATTACACCACGGAAGTATCCCTCCCCCTTTTGGCGAACAGTCCCTGAGTATCTTGCTACAGTCTAAAACTAAATCAAAATCCATTCAATTCGTTTTTTTTAAACATTCTCATTGGCAAGAAATAAAGGAAAATTAGGTATTAAGTATGATTTATGGGAAGAGAAATATCTGATAGCAGGAAAATCCGCTCAACATGCAAACAGTTTCAAAGACATCTATTTCTAGTGTAGTAAAGACACGTCTTAACGCTGCTTCTTTGTTCTTTAGAGATGTTATAACTGAGGATCACTGAAACGTATATACTTTCACTGTGAAAGCGAAGGTATTCTTCATTAAATGGTTATGTTATTGTTATGCGATCCATAAATACGAGGCAAGTACTTGATATTTCCTTAACGCTATAGCTTTGAGAATCATGTAATGATACTATAAAAGATTTAAAGCTGAGCATTTTATTCGAAAAACTATGCGGATAAGTATGCAGTATGAAAACAATGATTGCATGCAGAATGTGCATTGTGCTAAGAGATAAGCTATATATTCAGGCATTATTGAGATGAAGACCTTAAAAAATAACAGCATACAACAGCAGTGACAGCTCAAAGCAGTTCAGAAATATGGTCAAGTATTATGGCGATGGAGACCTTAAAAAATAGTTAACTGTAACAGCTGAAAGGAGTTGAAAGGCTGAAAAGTATCTGTAATATACCGCCACAAATAATTTTAATACTATTACAAGTCTGGAATAAGAAAAAAAATATGCTTGATATACTGTTATAAGGCTGCAAAAAGAAATAATATGCTTGATATACAAAATACTGCATATCAGAATTTTTCCATTGCTACTTTCACTTCCCTTCATACAAGAAGTTTTTGATAATATCAAAAGTTTATTCCGAACCACCTTTGAAAATAAGAAGCAAACTTGTTGTAATTGCTGTGAAATGTACGTACATGAATATGTGCAATATGGAACTGTTCATATGGAAACGTTTTAGTAACACACAGTTTCAAAAGAAATGTTCGTTGAAAGAGTTAATTTGTATCATTGCTTCGATATAATTGTAAGTTATATCATTAGTGGTTTGAGAATTAATTAAATATTAGCGAAATTAAATGTGATCCCTGCACTGCATGCCTTTGAGGGTTTTCTGGAAAATGCGTTTTTTTATTTGTTATAATAAACACTATAATTTGAAAAAATAATAACCTGATGAAACTTACCATAAGCATTCTATAAAATGTTTTGGTTAAATCCGTTAAAATATACACACACATTTTTATATATATATAGAGATAGAGAGAGAGAGAGAGAGAAAATGCATAGAATTAATAATATAAAAAATACATAGAATATGTATAGAGTTAATTTTGTATATATATAGAATTAAGATAATAGAATACATAGAATTAATTTTATTTTCCAAATTATTTATTCAACCGTTTTTAATTTGTGCCTTCCTATTAAAAATTACCACATTTGGATAATTATTAATAATCTTCATTTATAACTTCCTAAATAAATTTTTCAGCATTTTTTTTTCCAGCATTTTGTTTGGGGCCCACCAGCGGCCGAGCGGTAAAGTCGCTGAACACTGGTAGTTCGGTCCGAGGTTCGAATCCCGCGAACGGGCTGGCTGCATGGGCGTTTTCGTGGTTTTCCCCATGTGTAACGTGTATACGAGCCAGTTTCCCTTAGAAAGTCCTCCACGAAGGCATCCCTCCCCTTAGGCAGATAGCCCTCGTGTGCTTTGCCATAATTAAATACACCAGCATTTTGTTTGACATTTATTTTACTTATTAATTAAATATTATTCTGTTTCTTATCTCTCTATATATAACGCTTTGAAACTTCTTGTAAATTTAAAGGAAGAAATTTTTTGAAAATTTTCCAATGAAAGTATTTGATCAAGGAATATATCAGAAACTTTAGCACTGATTTCAGGGCATTTCGTATCTTCTTCGCAAATAAATGAGTGATGAGTAAATAAAAGTAAAATGTCTGTCAATACATGTTTTTCCGAAATGTGTTCCATAATCTTGAAATTTTGCAATTTTTTACTCAGAAAAGGAGAAAAGAAAATTTTAATAGCACATTTATCACTATGCAGTGAATGTTGATTAACACGGGTTATATAAGGGGCAACATCCGTGATTAAACACATTCGGTGCGAAAGCTGATATGGTGCGTCCTTTTACATGCGCCAAGATCCTGTCTGCACTTATCATTATTATATTATTATATATGCGATTAAATCATTTTCTGTTGCGTTATTATTTAAATATCGATACAACAGTTTACTTTTAAAGTAAATAAATTCACACAAGTCTACTCATAGTTAACATGTAAAAAAATATTTTTGCTCCCCGTCTAACTACAAGATAATTCGGAACTAGTTAAACAATACTCACCCGTCCTGCGTATTTACGCAAAGCTCCTGCACTTACGATACTTTATTTTCAATTAGACTTACATGAGAAAATGAACAAGAATTTAAGCAATATGTTCATAACATTTGCCAAGTGAATAACAAAGCAAACCATAAAAAGGTTTTCTGTTCTGAATATTTAGTTTATGTATCTACATTTTTAGAAATAAATGATCCATTTCTGTATGCTAAGTGTATTATTTAGTCCCTTCCTCTGCGTCTAACATCTAAACATTGCATGTATCTGGTACTGCAATATTCGTACTCGGTGATTTTGGTAAGGCGATCACTAACGAGTAATCTCGTAGCTAGCAAGGACTCAGTTTGCCAAAGACGAGTATTCTCGTGGATGGTACTGAGTGTTAACTGAAAATCGCGGTTAATCCGAGCGCAGTTAAAAACACACATAAACAGAAAAAAGAATAACCCACATTATACTTAACAGAAAAATACTTGCAGCAATCAACCATATATTTTCAAGCAGTTTAATCTAGAATATAAATTCATTTGATTCTATTTAAATTAAATCAGTGTTTGAAACAAAAAGAAGTTACTGTAAGTAACGAAGGAATAAAGATCATTCGAAAGGAAGAAACAAAGTTATAAATGCCATTCAAAAATAATATTTAAAAATCGTAACGTATTTTTCTTCTTCTTGCATTTTGTTGGACATTACATTATGCAGGTAGAGCATTTTTCAACTTAAAATAAACAGTTGGCGCTAAAAAAAATTAAACTCCAAATATTTTGTCATCTTTTTCACTACACTTGTCCATTCATATGCAAGTAGGCTTCACCACTACGCTTTGTATGTATTTGCTTTGTGGAACACGAGGCCTGCCAAATGACCATCCTCGTTTAACAATGACCTGTAAAAATTACGAAAACTTTGCATTACACGGTCAAAGATGTACCGGAGTTATGCGCTCAATTTCCTCCTTGATTCGTTCCTTCAGCTCTTTCACACTTCCCTCTCTGGTTGCAGACGCCTTATCCTTCAAATGTTCCTAATGGGAGACGTCTAGAGCACTTAAATCGGGGGAATCTGGTGGGCCACTGAATGTCATCGAAACACAGAAGTCTTCTGTCGTCGTCCGTCTACTCAATGCAGCAAACTCTCCATTTCCAAATTTTTTCAAAATTTATTCATTTGGCATAAATAGTGTTTCACAAATAACTAAAGTAAATGCACATAAAGTGAAGATGTAAAGTCTACGTGGTATGTATGTAAATGGGCAAGCACAGCGAAAAAGATGGTATAAAATATTTGGAGATTCGTTGTATATAGGACGGAATATGGGATTTTTAAAATGGGTTGACTAAAATGCTGCACCCTGTATTACATTGCCAGGTAAGTTAATGCGTCACATTGCAATATATTATACTTTGGACTGCTCTCATGCTATTAGTTTTTCCATCTTTTGACGTCTAGTTATTAAAAAACTCTATCACCTGGGGACCGCAGCCAAGAATCGGTCCAGAAATTCAGATGGGCTTTCATTGAACACATAATTCGCTTCGTATAAATTACATACAATACAGTACAGAAAAATTTCCTTGAAATTTACGGAGAAATAATTTTAACAGAGTCGATAAGGGAGACATAATTTGGAAGAGTAAAATGTTATAATAAATTTAAGTTACAGTTTAAATAATGCCAATCGAAATATTAGTTACAAAGATGATCAAGCCCAAATGATAACTTGATTAGGTTATATTTATAATTTTGTATTTGTATGGCCACAAATACAAGTATAAACTTGCTACCCAGGAAGGAAATAAAAAGTCCTCCGTATGAAGTCTGAGATATAAATAAGCTTCTATGTCTCTATTATAAGCTATAAATGTTCATTCACAACAAAGTTCAACAAAACCAAAACTCCTAGTTAAAAATCAGAATCTCTTAAAAGCTTAAATTAAGTGTAATAAAGCAGAAAATAATAATGTAAAGATACAAAACTATTGTGTAACACAATTATGAAATAATATCCTTTACTAACCTATTAGATAACAAAACTGGAAAGTAAATTAAGTAAAAATAAAGAATATTTGCTGAAATTAATAAGGAGCTAAAATCCGCTAGAGATAAGCCAAAGGCATTTTTAAGGCAGCGGACTACAAGATAAAGTTATTGAACTTATGGGTAGTAGGTAAATGTAATATATTACTAAATATTTTTCTTATATTACGATGATTTTACTTGCACAGATTTATTTTACGTTAAATATTTGAGATAGCAATTTTTATTGACTGATATCATTTCTGAGCAGACAAAAAACAATAATGCATTAATGTGTCCTGTTTTTAGGAAAATTTGGTTTCATACATAGTTAAATAGTTTAATTTAGTAAATATTTAAATGGTATGTTTAATAGAGATATAATAAATATCCCTTATTCTAAACTATTTAATTAATAGAGCTTTATTACAGTATTTTAATTAATTTAAATTAAATTTTATTTTAATTCCTTAACTCTTTCCTCAAGGGAGTATACTGTTTAATCAACAAATAAAAATTATTTTATTCATTGGCATGCTTAATAGTCATTATAGTTTCGTATCTATTCATTGTTCTAATGGTTGCTGACATAATTTCCGAAATGCGTTTCTTTTCAGTGTATATTCGTATTGTATTGCTGACTACCGAACTGAAACCGTTCACTGAACCCATCGACATATATCTCGTGGTGAGTTTTAATTTTTCTGAATTTTATTTGCAAAACTTTTATTGTTTCACAATTGAATGTTCTGTTTAATGTCATAAGTCTCTGAGCTCTTAAAGAAAAGTCGAAGAACAATGAGAATAGAAGTTCTTGCAGTTCATATTGAGAAAACGAAACTTTGACACTACATTACCTCGTGCCATTTTTATATAGCAAAACAGAAGAAATGGTATTACGAAGAAGAATGATTCAAAAATTATTACGTTTTCAGTTTACGTATAAAAAAGAATTGTCGTCCATTACAAATACATACTATTACCAATCGATGATGCATAGGACCTGTCATTTATCTAAAGTAATATAAAAGTGTGGTGTGTAGTGTAGCAAAATTAATCAATCAAAAAGTTATTTCATCTGGACTTCTTGACAATAATTCGCAAATAAACGTTATTTTATATAATGAATGTCATAAATAAAAGGGTTTCTAACACTAATTCGATTGTAAAATTTCGAACTCTGTTTTTTCGTACGCTACGGTTTGCATTAAAAATTATCAAACAGTTATGATGAAATTTCGTAGTAAGATATTTATTGCAGGCCTCTACATATATATACCTTTTTAATTTTTTTCTAAACTGTAAAACACTTTTTTCAATATTTGAGTATTTTCTTGTTTGTGCCATTTTACACTCAAAAAAGGAAATGCAAAACAAAGCTTCCCCTTCAAAACTGAAAGCAGTTTTGAGCGGAGATTTAGTTTTATTCAGGAGTAATTAATCTTATGAATAGGCAGTAGCAGATATTGCTTTTAATTGAGAATAGATGCGAAGTTGTTTCCTTTCATTTAAAGTCTAACTTTTTTATACATTTTTGAATATTTTTAGTAATTAGATCTTTTTAAGATAAGTTTACTACTATTATTATCATTTTTATGTTCTCTTAATTATCTATAAACTGCGATATTATATTCAGCTTTGACAAGATCTATTTCGGTAGTAAACAATCTGTACATCTGCCTCCCACATATCTTCCGTAGTATGCAGACCATACTTCTATCATCTGTCAGCGAAGATTCAATGTTAGATACCCGTATTTTGAACTCCACCAAGTTTTGCTAGGTATTGAATCTGAAATTTGTTAAAAACCAAAAAAAAAAAAAAAAAAAAAGAGCGATGTAATCGCTCTTTTTTGAGCAGATATTTCTGCATATGTTACCATCAATTAAAAATATAGTAGTTAAAATGCTACCGTCAAATAACATAAAAATTATCATCAACGAAAATGTAGCTTATTTGATTTTAGCAAAATGTAACTCGTCTGAATGTTTAAATTATTTCTTTTCAATATTACACTACATGCCATTTTAAAATAAGCATTATTTTCATTATAAGGAATGATTTTTTTAAGTACTCGACGTAACACCAAGTAAGAAGGCGTTATGCTTTCGTAAACGTTAAAGAACAAACAGTTCTGATGAGAGAGAGAGGAAAATTATCTCAACTTTCACGTCAAATTCTTATTTCTTAAAAAATAACTGTTCAGACCTTTTATGTTTGAAACACGCTGTCACCCGTACAGCTCCATTCCCGTTTCTGAAACTAACTTACCTGCATCGGAAATAACCCAAGTAGCACAGCAACGTCATAACGACGTTGCAAACTCGTCGCGGATGTCGTTGCAAAATCGTTGCAATATGTCGTCTTTAAGACGCTCAGATGTCCGCGAACATCCCCTGTTTTGCAACCGTTGCCAAGACGTCTTAATTACGTCTTTGTAGATGAGGCTTTTGTCGCATAAACGTCGTTATTGCGTCTTTCACAGGTGATATTTTGGTTGTGAAAGCATCGTATCACGACGTCTTAAAGAGGCCTAAATGTTCGCAAAATTCCACTTTTTTGCAACAGTTGTCAAAGTCTCGCTATTATGTTCTTGTGTCACATATTGATTTATGCAGAAAAATAAGCTTAATAATTAATATGTTTTTCTTCTTTTTTAAATTTTTTATTCCTTGTATTTTTCCAAAGTTGAAATACTTTATCATTTCCTTAAAACCAGAAGATAATACAATTTTTTCTCTTTAGACTAAATATGCATAATTAATAAAAGCCTTAATTATTTTTAGTACTTTAAACTATATTTTTTAAATAACTTAAATTCTAAGTTACTATTATTTAAAATTTCTTCATTTTTTTCCTTAAGTGAGAGTAATTATGAAAGTGGTTAGTAGGTTTTAAGTAAATAAAACTCAATTAGACATAAATAAATGTAAAGGTACATATGTGGGTAGAAAAAGAGCGTTTTTTTTCTGATAACAGCATTATCACATTTATTTCTGTTAAATCTCAGAGACATTGAAAATTGCACCTGTCGTGATAAATTAGGAAGCGGTTCTTAAGGTAACATAATCAGTATTTTACCTGAACTCAAGTATAAATTTATTTGCGGTTCACAGTAAAAAATATAACCATTAATTTCTATATCTACAAGATATGCAAATGAAAGACAGTATAAAGTAGTTAATAAATGTGATCAAAAATATACCTAAATTTAATAACTTCCCATATTTCATATCTAAAATGAAATAACAACCTAACAAACAACATGCATGACAGCCCTATTTAAGAAAAAAAAACATGAACTAGTAGTGTTTGAAAGTATAAATAGCAGAAGGAAGGTAACAGAACTAAAATTTCCAATTAATAAGAAAATATTTGTGTTTTTTAAATAGTTAGCAATTAAAAGTGGAATAATTATGGATTGCAGTATTTACTAGTAATTCTGATACTAAATTCTTAACACCATTTCTTTCGATCATATGTTAATGTATTTACTTATTTTTAGTTTCTACATTTTAGAATAGTGGTAGATTACAATGATTATTTCATGCACTTTTTATAATCAATAATTTTCCTTTTTGTTACTGTACAGAAATAATTGAAATAATATAGTATACGACAGTAAGCTAAGTACGTTAAAGTAAGCTCTTCGTTAAATAGCACACGATGAAACTTTTTGTTTCTATTTATTATGAATTTCTTTATCACAAGCACATAAAAAGTAAGCGAAGAAAATAGAATATACTTAAATTTAATTAAAAATAAAACATAATTTCCAACATTCATTTATTGAGATAAACTAATAACCATACATAACGGCAATAGAATATACTTAAATTTAATAAAAAAATAAAACCTGATTTCCAACATTAATTTATTGAGATAAAATCTAATAAGCATACATATCGGCAATATTTAAAAAAAACGCGAATTACACAGTGTTTGGAAGAATAGTTACCAAACGAAAAGTAATAAAACTGCAATTTGCAATCAACAAAAAAATATTGAGTGTTTTTTAATATTACACAATTAAATATCTCATAATTATAGATTGCAATATTTCATAGAAATCTAATGTTTCCTTAACACTAGTTTTTCGATCATACATTTCATACACTGTTTAAAATCTTTAACCTTTTCTGCATAGTGTACAAAAGACAATACACTATAGAATGTGCATTATTATTAATTTTAATAATTAATTAATTGCTTATATTATACATATATTTATTTAATCTTCAGCAGCCATATTAAGTACTGGTACCAGTCCAATAATTTCTTTGTATTTTGAAAATAATGAACATACCAAAACAGCTTGAATTGTTGTTGCTTCTGTATTGATTGCATTTTAAGCAAAACCAGAAAGTGGCTTACCGTTGTATGTTATTTTTGGTTCTATATGAATTAATTCTGAAAGCCAACTTTTCAATATGAACGCAATAATCGATTAATATGAATGATATGCGATATAGCACTTAGTACGTTATAACTGAAGCACAAAGCTAGTAAGTTTATCCAAATATTGCACCGCTGGAACCACAGCGATTGGAGACAGACACTATTTACACAGAGACACTATTTCACGAACACTAGATTCACCATAGCAGATAATCACACACAAAATAAGCATAAATTCAGTTCACTCGCTGAAAACTGTTGAAGTAAATAGATACAGAACAATGAGAATATTCACAATGCCTTGTCTGATTGACAGTGCATTACATTTACTTTTAATATAAGCAACATTATTTATATCAGCCATTGCTTGATTGAATTTTAAACATGAAGTAAGTCTTTTCAAACGCCTTACAGATGGCATCTTTACCCAATGACTTAAAAGAACTGCTAGAATCTGAATTAATTGCGCAGTTGTTCGAATTTGGCAGCTAGCCATAGTGCCCAAATCTCGAGATGTTCATATATAAGCATCCAGTAAATAATGCACAGGTCTGCTTCACCTTCCGCCATATATATTGGACAGCCATGAATTCGTCCTTACTTCAAAAATAATAAATAAAGTCATATTTCAGTAGTGAAATAATTGCTAACATGTGATTTGCACTGATTTCGGAAATATTTTTTAAAATATATAAAATGCATAACTTAATAACTTACTTTATAGATTAGTTTCATTTTTAAATATTTTGCTAAAATATTTATAAAAATATTTTAAGTATTAATTATTTAAAAAAAATTAACAATTATTTAGCACGTATTTTTAGTACTAATTAAATTCAAAAGTATTTATATTAAATTTGCATTTTATTAGATAATCTACTTTAGATTAATATATTTAGATGAAATAAAGTAATGAAACATTGCAAAGTAAATCTTATGCGGACTTCAGATTCTTGAAAGGCCAGATTTAGTCTCTTTTCATTCTAAAAATAATGCTGATGAACTAAAAAAAATGCTAAAACGACCACGTCTAAAAGCGGTCATATCATATGACGTTTCAGCGACGTCGACAAATTGCCAGTTGCAACGGCAAATATTTTGCTTCTTCGCATCGTTGTAAAGACGTCGTAAAAGTTACCACGACCACTTTGCAATGTCGTGTGCTACTTGGGAATGCATTAATTAAGCTTGATCGAAAGGACTGTCAAACTATCAAAGGACAACGTATCATGAATTCTCGACACTGGACTCGTGTGTAGGTTAAATTGCGGAAAGTTCAGAAAGATTAAA